TTTTCTTGCATTTTCTTGCCTTTTGTGACGTCATTTCTGTTACTAATGAAACCAAAAATAAACCTAGAGAAGTAAGGAAGGGCTAAGTTCGGGTGTAACATAATATTCTATACTCTTGCAACTTGCAAGTTAAATACTTTCAGGTGTCAGAAATATTAAAAAATGTAGCGAGTTCAGCTTTATTGTTCTACGAGATTACAATCGATTACAATCAAATTTGATATCATATTAACTAATTTTGAGGGTCATATCTTCTCTTAGTTTGATTACTATAAGTTACTTCATATCAGCGAAAATTATACTCAAACCATTGGGGACATAGAAATGGAAGGGCTGATTACTATAATTTTTAACATTGCTCAGGTATACTTGAGAACTTAGTATGTTAAAACAATTTTAGAAATATATATATAAATATAAACATATACATGGTGAAAAGTCAGCCGGACGTTTCAATATTGTGAATATCAGTTATATGACACTAAGGCAAGTTTCTGGCCGATTTTATCCATCATAGGCACAAAGACACACTGTTATTAGAAAAAGACGCTCTCTCAATTTTATTAAAATAACTACAATATTACATTATCGGCTTATGTGGTATAAAGTCAACTGGAAGTTCGAAAATTTTCATATTAGGTATATGGGGTTAGGGAAGTAACATATAATATTGACCCGATTCAACCCATTCTTGACTCAATGGTACAATATTATCAAAGAAATCGATTTTCAATACTAGATCTCACACATTGACCGATATGTTCGGCAAAAGTCAGCCATACGCACTGGGGTCCCCATATTTGACGTCTGGGTTATTCAAAAATTATGGGCCGATTTTTAACTTTTGGGCGTAAGATAAAATACCTTGAGGGCACTATTTGTGAAAGGTTTTATCCGGATACATTGATTGATTCTTGATTTGTATACTGGAAAGTGAATGACTTCGTAACATAGGATCTTCAGGATAATGTTATGTACCTAATTTGGTTGAAACCTTTCCTAAGAAAGTCCTAAGATATGGATTTTCTCCTAAATGTAGGTGTTGCCACGCCCATCGTCAAATTTCACACCGTCTGCTATAAAGCCCTCTTAAAAAATCTCAGTAAAATTTCAATTCGTTTCGTTATCCTGATCATTTAGTATATATGCATAACCCTAAATTTAACTCGATTATTTTCATGTTCTACAAACAACAGTTAGGTTAACCAAACTATTATACTGCGTAGCAACATGTTGAAGGAGTGTAGAAACGTTAATTTCGGCTGCACCGAAGCTATAGTACCCTTCACAAAAGCATTTTTTATAGCAACTACTTATATGTATAAGTAAATCTGAAACCGTAACTGGCCACCGGGTTGCAACCAACGGAAAACAATTTGCTTGTTCTTTCTAGCTAGATTGTTCCTATAAACAACGTCAATCCGAATTAAGGTTACTTAATAGGGAAAACTATATTTTTTAAAAACCTTTATCTTGATTTTGTTCGATCAGTTTGAGTGGTAGCTAAACATATATGCTATACTTGTAGTAGTCCAATTTGATTGAAATTGAAGCTGCCTTGCAAAATAATCTGTGCCAAATTTTGTGAAGATATCTTGTCAAAAATAAGTTTCTCATACAAAAACTTGATTTTGATGGGTCAGATTGTATGGAGTTGGTCTGATATCAGCGGTTCCAACAAATGAGCAACTTCTTGGGAAAAAAGGACGTGTGCAAAATTATTGATATCTCAAAAAATGAGGAACTAGTTCGCGTGTATACAGACAGACAAATGGACATGGCTATATCGACTCAGCTCGTCGCAAACTATTTATATATGCGACTTTATAGGGTCTTCGTTCTGGATGTTACAAAATTCGTGGCTTATTTGCTTAATATACTCTGTTCAGAGTATACTAATTATGAAAAGTTGGCGTGATTTCTAATTCTATCATTCTTGGTGGTAACTCACCGAGAGGTGGACGAAAGAAACATTATTGTGAAAACCCTTTACTGAAATTGTTCCCAAATTATGCTATAAAACCGCCATGCCCTGAGGTTTTGATTTAGGAAAAAACAATTCCTCCACTTGGTCTTGTTAGTAATGAAACCACTTAGGGGATCAATCGGCACGTCCAACTACCATTGGTAATGTCTTCTAATATTTGTTCATTGTTTGAGCGGTAGATTAACCATCACCGGGTAAAGCATCTAATGTATGGAGGAATTAAAAATGTGCCATATACAGCGGATGCATAGAGCTAATTCGAGTCTCTAAGATCAGAACATCTAGATATACTACATACATATTTGTATTTAATACGAAGAACGAACAGAAAAAAAAATTTATATCTCGTTGTTTAAAAGGTAAATAAAACTAAAAAATCAATTGCAAATATGTTAAGTAACACATAAATGATATATGTACGAAATCCTAAAAATACACTGATACACATATTTCTTAATTATCAAAAAAAAAAAATGACAAGACACATCATGTAAGTAATTTCTGAAACTTATACAACTTTGTTTTTGTTTATATTTATATTAATTACATTTGACCTCAATCGTTATCTACATATGTATGTATATTAGCATACATATATTGTATATAACTATTTTATGTAAATTTTTGGAGTATTGAATATTTAATATAAGCTGGTCTCACAGCAAAGTGCTCTATATTTCAAATGTACGTAATCCACTAAGTGGTCGTAAATAATCAGCAAAAATCATTCGTATACTAAAGGTGACATGTTTCGCACGCTTCAGCATACTTTTTTTACATAACATTAATTCAGATTTCCGAAGATTCCTTCCCCTAAAATTTATTACCACATTGTTAAATTTTTTTGTGAAAAGCAATTTGCACGGATCTGCAAGCAAGTTGAGTCTAAATGACGGTTGGTATTCCTAAGAGGATAATGACCCAAAGAACAACTCCCCAATTGTCAAGGGGTGGTTAATTTGTAATGTACCAAAAAAACTTTATTCGCCACCTCAATCACCTTAACTGGATAGATCATTTGTGGGAAGTATTACAAAGTATACATACATAAAAAGCAGAAAGAAAAAAAGAGGAACTAAAGGATGGTTTGGCACCAAATTGGCAGAAACTACAAAAAAAACTCGTATTTTCCATGAGAAATCAAGTGTAGACTGTAGTATAGGCAAAGGAGGACCAAGTAAATACTAATTAATTAAGCTAGTACGGGTTTAATTTATGCGCTACGAAATTGAATATTTGAATTTTATTGTACATAATTTTAAAGTAAATCTTTTTATATTTATTTAACATAATTAAGATTTGTGTTCTTATATATTTTTCTAGTATAATCGCCTTTTATAATTAAACTTTATTTATTGACTTGCTGGTAAGGCGGCTCTTCATTGCCTTTCTGGTGTTTTTTAAAATAGCTCGTACTTCATAGCAAATCGTTTAGAATGGACTGAGCGTATGCCAATGTTACTATTTTAAGTGTTTTGGAACAATTTAGTAAAATTTTACTCAAAATTGTACATAAAAAGTTTTTCAGATAAATAATTTTAAAAATCCTTTTTGAAATAAGCAAGCTTCGCAAAATTTCAAAATTTTTAAACTCTCAAAGTTTAGTTTCTGGAGCCTTCGGCCTGACGGGTAATGTTGCATTTGTATATAATTTTAAATAATTAATTCTATGCCTTAACACACAAATATTATATGGGCAAGTGGACAGCTATCTGATTTTTCCAAGTGTAGCCTTTAGTTGCTCGGCGGTTGGTTTTGTTTATAGCAAATAAAAAAGTCAAACCTGTACTCCAGTGCAGTGATTGCAATTCGTTAATAATAAATCATGTTAATTTGCTCACCTGCACAGCTTCAAAAATTCCAAGGCACATTGTGTTTCCGAATGCTCAACATTGTAATAAACAATTTATTATAAAAGATCATAACTACAAATACAATGTACATATATACACATATACATTAAATAGATCCTTACAGGCAACATACATATGTACTATGAAACATACGTATGTACATTTGTGTGCCACATGCCCAAATATAATTCTATATTTAGAAATGAACATTTAGGAATTTCCTTGAATCGGAAGTGTTCTTAAGTGAAATACATAATCACATACATTTTTTTGAGCGTGTGATCATGATTGGCGCGTAATTAACCTCAACAGGCAGCCCATCAGGGGATATGTTACAATTTAAAATTTAAAATCTTAAGTAGACAACATTAACTCCACATGCTGAGCTTTTATTTTACTTTTATGTTCAAATACCTTCTTCATCTTATTTAAGAACGGTATTGACATAATAGAGTCTTCATAAATTGGATTGCGAGAAAAAACTTTTCAAGTCTCGAATTCAAGACTAGCATAGTTATAGGGGGCCTCTAACCTTTAGACCTCGCCGACCGCCAAAGTGGTTAAATCGCTATACCATTTTAAATATTTTTCATAAAATAATAAAATATTAGTGATAAATCAGGAGATAGTAAATGTTTTTTTTACCACTGTGTCTATTTTATTGGGTCACATATTTTAATATTATGCACATAATCAGCGTCAACACGAAATGTTATGATGTAGATAACTGAACTTATTTTTCAAATTTAAATAATTGTAAATTGATACAGCCACCACAATAATTTTGACCGAACGCGGGGTTACAAAGTCAAACGTTGCTAAAATTGAATAGTAAAAACGACACATTTCTGTTATCTATCATTAGTATGACATACAGGATACGAATTAAGTTAGAGCTTATTCCCAATTTGGCGTGTTGAATTTTGCTGAGCAAAAATTGTTATGACTTGCGTTTATATGTTAACTTAAACTATAAATGCCGGTTTTGGAGTGGAAACAAGTAAAAAATAATCATTTCACTAGTTTTGTTGTGCCACAACATAAAAAGTTTCAAATTCAGTATTTCACATTACTCGTTTTTAAATTTAATTGCATAATTTTATTAAAAACTAACTTTATTTTCTAATTTGTCGTTTCAATTTATAATTAAAAGCGCTTACCGAAACTCTTTGATAACATGAAAGCGTTGTGTGGCATCTTGACCAGCGCGATCTTCATTATTTGGATTTTGGCTCTGCATAATACTGTTCATTTGAGCTACCGTTAGGTTGAATCTAGCCAAAATTGTACGATTATTGCGGTCGACAATTTCGGTGCGAACGGTAGCATCGTCATCCATAAAGGAAGCGCCACGCTTCAATAAGTGACCATTAACTTGACCCAAAATGGTCAACAGAATGCACAGGGTAAAGACAACACATTTAAGGAGCACCATATTCATATTTTCTTTTCACTTTTTACAAATTTTCCTACGAATATAACAATATTTTTTTTACCAATTAGTTGGTTTTCTGTACTATCATTTTCATGTAAAAAAATATAATTCATAACATAAGAGATTTAGTATTTCATGATTCAAATTAAGTGTTTATTCTCCGATCACTTTATTTATATCTTTACACAAACATTATTATAACTACGCTATAAATATTGTTTATTTGCTTTTCTTCCGATTCCGGATGTCTTCACTCTAAGAACACCAAGTATGAAGTGATTTGTGCGAGGCGCTTCAGGTCTTAAATAACATTTCATTTCTGATACAATATTTGGTTTGTGTTTGGTATACTTCGCATGCGAAACGCTGTTAAATCGTTTCGTAAATGCTTGTGCTCCCCACTACTACGCTGTACGATGTTAAGGCAATGATACACCGGAAAAATACTCACGTCATTTGTCTGGATATTTTGCATATGCGTTTAGTTTTGCACTTAGAGTATTAAGTAAACCCGAGCAACATTTTCATCTATTATAAATATACCACATTTCCATATATATATACATATATACATATGTATTATACAGACGTCTAGGTATTTTCTTTGTTGTACGTAATCATATCAACAAGCGTACATATTGATTCATCAAAATTCTTTAATTGAATTGATAAACTGTTTTATATTCTAGCAGAATCAAATGAATCAAGTCTTCCCTCACAAACGAGAAAAATGTCTCCTTGAGCATCCTCGGAGAAGATTCATTCGTCATGACGAGAGACTGGTATAGGTCTAAGATGGATAGATAGACCTCGAAGTTCTGTTTATAAACTGGAATAAGAGAGCTGGTAATATATAGCATGGTTCACTTGATTAAAGGCACTGGTTTTCATGAAAGCAAATGCTCATTACAACGACTCTATTTGATCTACAAAAAAATGTTTTGCTGATTATTTAAAGAAGGTACGGTTCTCTTTATTCAAAAATGTACACACATCGAAATATTATAATATTATTTCAGTTAATGGTATTTCGGAACAATAAAACTTCAGCAGCTGTAATATAGTGCTTCATTTATTAGTTCACTTGAATAGAGGAAACAAATATTGGCTTTTATAAAAATCAGTGCATCTAATCAAGTGAACCGGACTGTATAGGGAAGATATATACATTTTATGGCAGGAGATATTTTTATTGTTAGTGTTCACCAACAGCTGAAAGAAGTTCGCACGACTGTCCAATATTTCTACAAAAATAGAGAAAGGCTAATTAACAGTGTTTTTCTTTGGAACAGTTATATCAATGTTATCAGCACCCCAAAAAGAATGAACCGGAACCGTTTAGTTCTGCTGTGCGGAATATGTTTAACATTCGGTTAAAAGTACCACCTGACGAACAGCGATTATATCTCAAACCGTATCAATGAATCTTCCTATTTTCAGAATAAAAATATAATGTAATATTATGTATGTCACGGACTCGTATACCTTCTATACTACATTTGGTTTTACAATATTAAGGCTATAAAATCATATTAGGGCTAAATTCACTCAGAGAATTTAAGTAAATCCAAAATCGATCAGTTCATTTTGCCGCGGCATCTCACATAACGGTATAAAGTCAACCACATTAATATCAGAAAAATGTATCTTACTTTCATTAAGATAATTTTCATATTGACCGCCATTTTTTGTTATAAGGTCACCCATAGGCTCTGGGGACTTTATATCCGGTATTGCGGCTGTTGAAGTGTTATGTTCTAATTTCTACACAGAATTTTATTAAGATAACAGATACAATGATATGGTCGCCAGAAATAATACTAGAATAACTAAAAAAATGTAATATAGGTATAGGGCTGGTAAATTTGTGATCCGATTTCACCAATATTCGCCACAAAGCAATGGTTTATACAAGATTATACGTTCACTTAATTCTGCTGTGATCTCATATTGTCTTGTATATAGGAATAAAGGCAATCGGAAGTTTAAAAATCCTTATTTTGGCTGGAGAAAGTTCTTTCACGATTTTATCCATTTTTGATACCAGGACACATGATTTTTAGGTTACTTCTATGTTTTTTTGTTGTGAAATTTCTTTGGCCCCAATATAAATAATTTAGTAATTTGTGTGAGTAATCCTAAAAACTGGCATAGAGACCTAACATGACATTAAATGGTGTTCAGATTTTGCCTTAGCCACAATATAATCAATATTGTGATTTTCTACTCTCCCTTTAACTTAATACCCCTTATATTGGTCAATATGATCGACATTTTAATAAAATTAAGAGGACAGGTTTTCCTTATTATAATGTTTAAAGATTTAGCGCTGAATCTGAATGAAACCGATCTAGACCTTGGCCTACCTCCCATACTTCTAAAATGTATTAGGTCCCACTGATGACTTTTGCTCTCGTATACCCAGTGTATTAATCGTTGGGTGAGTTAATTTACAATAGCATGTATTCTTTCTAGCGGAAGATATCTCAATTTAATGAAAAAATTCTTCAATTAGCAACCGAATGACAAATAAGAAAGATTATTGATTTTGGTATGTACGTTCCCACAGGACTAAATGAGTCTATCACCTGTACAATTTAATATGAGATCAAACATGACTACTTTTAGCTTTATTGGTACATTTATATTAGCATAATCACAAACAATTAATTTATCTATTATAACTATATCCAAACGTTGCAGAAACTGATATTTTTTATTTCATTGTATTATTGATTCCTTTCATTCGACACACCAAGTAATGTCTTTAGAAGGGCCTGAAGTTCGAAATGATTCCGAATTCAAATCCAAATCAAAAAAAATTTCGATTTTGAAACGTGCGTACGAAATCGGTCAATGTGAAGTGCCTATGTAACTTGTTGCACGTACACGAAAGATGTGATTAGCAATTAGTGTTAAGGGGTGGATTGGATATAATAGAAATCAATCTAATAGAAAATATTCCGACAGAATATGAGTAGTTAACGTAAAAATTAAATGAAATTCTCTAAAGGCAGAATTGTAACCATTTCACCGGCGAGTCGTACAACTTACAATAATGGTTGTGTAAGCCCTGCAACTCCCTCTTTTATATGTATTTTTAAAAACAAATAAATAAATAAAAATTATTTAAAATTTGCAACATCCCTACACAACGGGGTCTAAAATTTTGCAATTTGTGGGTAGACTGCAAGTCGCCTCTTTACTGAACAATTTTCCTGAGAAATTTGTGCGTAAGGAATCGAATGGAAATAGCAAAGTTGTTCTTGTATTCGGATAAACAGCATTATCTAAGCAATGGCACATAGATATGAAAATACATATGATTTATAACGGTAACAAATTACATGTTGGTGGTTATATCAGAAGTGGTATTCATTAACTCCAAACGCTTTACTTTTAAATTGGCGTCCACTATGAAATACAAATCTATAATGTGAAGTGGCATGGATTTGCTCGATTTTTAAAGTCAATTTACTTGACTTATTCCCCAACGATCCCACTACAAGTGGTACACATTGCAAAAAATAAACTTATATTTAATTTGTACCGACTTGTATAAAATTCACCATCAGTCATAACGATTCAAGCGAAGATAGTTAATATTATATATTGTATTATATATTCATTTATGATGGAAAGAAGAATGGTTCTTGACCATTTTCACACACATACTGATGAGATCTGCTACCTTTCACCACTTTATCAAGGCGTTGATCTTCTGTAAACATACTTACATTTAAGACTATAGTATAGATATAATATATAATGAATTCGTGAACAACGTTGATTCTACACAAACGTTAACAATTCAACAAAAACAGTTTACAGTGGACTGAAGCTATTTGTTCAGCTCCAAAGCTGGTGAAGATGAATAGGGATGCAAAACGAATTTTGTTGATTGATTATCTGCAGAAAGGTAAAACAATCAACTCTGAATATTATTGCAGTCTTTTGGATCAGCTAAATGAAAAAATTCGTGAGAAAAGACCTGGTTTGCAGCAAAAAAAAAATCATTTTTCGTTAATACAATGCACCTGCTCACAAAAGTGTTTTACCAATGACAAAATTCAAAATTAAAAGTACTAATTGCCTGAGCATCCACCGTATTCACCAGATTTGGCTCCCAGCGACTACTATCTGTTCAGAAACCCAAACAATTTCTTCGTGAAAAGCGTTTTTCGTCGAATGAAGAAGCTATTGTAACCGTAAGCATAACATTATTGGAGGATCATTGGAATACGTGTATTGAAGTTAAGGGAGATTATATTGAATAAAAAAATATATTTCATACCAAAAACAGTATTTTTTCATTTCGAAAGCAGAAACTTTTCAACCAGCGTCTATATTAGCTGACCAGGATCAAAAATTTTATATTATTCCAGTGGTTGGAGGCCTGATAATAAATACGAAGCTGAGCTATTGCTAACTATACATTATATACGAGTATATACTGTGCGTTAAAAAAAAAAAGTTTTCATTTTTCAAAGTGAAGGTAGGTTGAGAAACATGTTTTAATTATAGAAAATATAATATATTTTGTTATAGCTGACGTTTATTCAATACTTTTTCCAATTTCCCGAGTTGCCTATTATAGCCTAACATTTTTGATGGCAACTTGCAACAAAATTTTCCCATACTCCAGGTATGTTAGAGTAACCGCATGAAATCTTTTGTTGATTTTAAATGTTATCTTGATATTTGGCCTTCATTACAGCCCAAACATTTTCTATTGGATTGGCGTCTGGGACTGTGATGGCCAATCTAAAGTAACAATATAATTTTCTTGTTTCCATTAAGGACAGAGTCTGCTCCTATGTTTCGGATCATTTCTTCCTACATTATCCAATCATGGTTATTTTTGTCGTAAAGCATTTCAGCAGACTTCAGAGGTCGGCTAAAGAATACCAACTTATAGTTTTCGAGATATTTGCGTTTAAAGTTTAAAATTTCAACTATTTAATGTGAGTATTTCTTCGATTTAAAATTCATTTTACATTTATATTTTTCACTTTTATATCCCCTAACACTTCCTTAATAATATCCACTAACAGTAACTCAAATTTTTTTTAAAAGTGGTCCTGCTCCTTATAAGTTTAATGTACATACTGTACATTCGCTTTGTGAAAATGAGTGAATTCGGACAATAACTTCGCCCACACCCCATATAACGGTTTTGTTAAAAGCTACTAAAAATACGATAAATCTATAACTAAACGCGCGCGAGACATACAAAATTTACTCCAGAAATTAGAATGCTTTATAGGATCCGGAGTCAAATTTGGACGACAGGCGTTGTACCACCAATTATCAGGTGGAAACTTATATCTCAGGACCTACTCGACCGATGTCAACAAAATTCAGTACGTAATACTATTTTGATATCTATAGA